AAGTTTACAGTACAAAAACAATACAATGTTAGAGGCTTACCTTTCTACCTCTTCACTAGGTTAATTCCCCACTGTGCAGAAAGTATGCCCTTATTTTGCCTGTATATCTTATGTTTTAATTATTAAACACAGCTGCAATGTATTTATTGCCTGCTTCCTAGGAGGTGAGCACTATACTGACAAGACTGTTTTATTTTAGGCACAGAACAACAGTGTGAAAAGCAGGCAATTCTATTCCTGTTTTACAGATGTGGGCATAAGCATAGAGTGTTAGCGCTCAATTGCCACAGTGATACTACAGCACAAGTCCCCAGATCTCAGTGGCTTACGACTCCCATTTATTTTCTCACATATGCACCCATGGTTGCAGTGGCTCCCCGGGCCTGTGGGGCTCCAGGTTCAGGTGGGCTCAGTCCATTGCATTTCTCACTCCATGCCATGTTCTTCCAAACACACATCACCTGAACATGAGTCCAAGCACACAAGCACGTTCGAGTCCCTACCTGCGTCCCATTTGCTAATATTTCACTAGCCAAGGCAAGTCATGGGGGCCATATCCAAGGTCAAGGACTACAGAGGACTATGCTCCAACAACACACGGCCATGCCCCAAAAGTATAACACAGCAACAGCAAGTGAAATGGTGGACTCAATTATACCATCTACCACAATTAACTTGTCCAAAGTTATAGAGCAGGCAGTTAAAAGCAGGACCCTGGTCCACCAAACTCCATGTCTGCCTAACCTGATGGTTATAATTCTTCAAAGACAAGTGGCTCTAAAAAGGCAGTGATTCTCAATCTCACTAGCAGGAGCTGTTGCAATTAGCTGTGTACTTTCTTCAGCCAGCTTTGGTCCATCAGCCATCCTCCATCCACAATCCCATAGGTGTCTTATGGTCCCTTGTAAGCATGCCATCTCTCAGGTGTGCTGGTACTAATACTAATCACCATTAACTGTACCCAATCAATTAAAAATGTTCATATTCTACTCTATTTCAGTCTATGATCCAGGTAGAATTTTACCCAGGAAAAGAGGCAAGTAGTCAAAAACTAACGACTGAACTGAACTAAAGATCACTGGTCTTATTAAAATCCATCAATGCCCAAAGAAGTTTAAAAAAAAATCCTTTAGATAAGTATTACCTTCTTCCTGATCAAGTCAGCAACCACTTCCCTGCACCTTGACTTCTTCCATACACTTCCACTTACCTTTGGTTCATACCAAAACAGAAGGACCCTGAAACTCTACATCTACTCAGTAAGGAAACAGAAGTGCTATGGAAGATCATGACTGGCTTCCATTCCCAGCCCCAAAGGGAGAGAACAAGGCATGCAGGGATCCACTCCACCACACAGTATTCACCATGTTCCCAATCCAACCCCCAGATAAGCAACCCATTGCTTATCCTGGATGGGATCCTGGGTAAGAACCCTGGGTTCTTACCCAGGATCCCAACCAGCTTCCAGGGAAGGCCCTCAGTCTACCCTCAGGATAAGTGATAAGAAAATCAATGCTGCTGCCGGTCAGTCGTGCCCAGACCACCACATTTTAGTGGATAAAACACAATACTGGTTTCCTCAAAGACAATCTTCCCTTCAATGGATAATTGGTTACAAATACACCTACTTTTACTACATCAAACTAAAAAGAAGTTGTTCTGAAGAAGGGAAAATTGAAAGCCACAGTTCAAAAACATTTTTTCCCTGGAAAGGTTTTCATATAAAAAGGAGATGGCTCATGACTGATGTAGGCCTTCCAAATCTCTGTGCTATCTGAAATTATGCTCGGTCCTCTCCACACCCTGCTCTGTCCCCTAATCTCCTCACCTCAGGCTTCTCATTCCATTCTTCTTGCCTCAACCTCCTCCTCCTCCATCCAACTGACCCCTGCCCAGCTCACCAGACCTTTCTTCATGAAACCCTTGTCATGAAGCTCTCATCCTCAAAAGCACACAATGGTTAATCCTTACACCCACAACCCTCCAGACCCTGTGCTTCCTGAGGTTCAGCTCCTCAGAGAGCAGGGGCTGTATCTACGGTGACCACCACCATGGCCCATGCAGCCAGCACACATCCAGTACATGCTGAGAAGCGCTCCAGTGACCAAGCCTGGGTTTTCAGACTTGGTTCCTACTAAATAAAGCTCCCTCTCTTATACCCTGTCTCATATCAAAGTTCGGATTCTCCCTAAATACAACATACCCCCACACCTTTTTCCACCCTGGGCTCTCAGCCTGGAAGGATATTTCCACCTATTTTATATGCATCAAAATCCTTATTTCAGAGGCATCTGGGTGGCTCAGTGGTTTAGCATCTGCCTTTGGCTCAGGTCATGATCCTGGGGTCCTGGGATCGAGTTCTATATCAGGTTCCCCACAGAAAGTCTGCTTCTCCCTCTAACTATGTCTCAGCCTCTCTCTGTATGTCTCTCATGAATAAACAAAATCTTTTAAAAATCCTTATTTCAGGGCAGCCCAGGTGGCTCAGTGGTTTAGCACCGCTTTCAGCCCAGGGCGTGATCCTGGAGACCTGGGATCAAGTCCCATGTCAGGTTCCCTGCATGGAGCCTGCTTCTCCCTCTGCCTGTGTCTCTGCCTCTCTCTCTCTCTCTCTCTCTCTCTCTCTCTCTCTCTCTCTCATAAATAAATAAATAAATAAATAAATAAATAAATAAATAAATAAATAAATCTTTTTAAAAAATCCTTATTTCAGGTCAGGCTCATATATCAAGTTTCAGGACTTCTTAGATTTTTCCACTGAAATCATTTTATCTCTGTCTGGAACTAATCTCCTAGTACTTTGTACTACTGTTTATATGTCTGCCTCTTCCATTATAGAGAACTTAAAAGCAGTGCCTTAAAAAAAATACCTCTTTATATCCATCTTGTGTTTAGCAAAGCAATTCAAAGACAGTAATATATACAAAATGTTTATTAAATCTCAGGCTGCTGCAAAATTCATATATTATGCTTCTATGTACACCAGCCAAAAAATAATCATATGCTATACATGCTGCCCATTTAAGTTAAAGAAAATTTCATGACTATCAACACTATAACACCTAGTTATATCCCACAAGTATAACAAAATCTTGATTATCTGGTACCTCCTGGCCCCCAATATCCTAGTAAAACAAGAATCTAATGAACCAACAAAGATCAGAATCCCTTTTACATACATCCACACTGCAACAACAAAGAAATGAACAACAAAAAGCACACATAAAACTAAAAAAGCTTAAATGGTCTACAGAAATTACATTCTAGGATTCACTGTTGTTATTTCAGCAACTAAACAATTTCACTGATATAAAATCCCTTACATCAGGTTTCATTTTGCATTGCAAAATGAAAATATAAAATTTTCATTACATTTTTGTAAAGATGATTTGATGATTTTATTAACAAAATTTCAAATATTGAAAAGGTGACTGAGACAAACTATTTTCATTAAAGTGGTTAACTCAGAATGCATAATTAAGTACAAAAGTTAATTCTACTTTTTTTTTAATAACTTAGAAAAAGAAACCAGCATTACACTATAAGATGGCAGCCTACTAGCTTCTACACCATCCATGACAGAGTTTATGGGATTAAAACGTGAAGGGGAATTTACCTAATTAAAATTAAGTACAACTTGTCTTATTTGATTAGTTCTCTCCTTCACACTCTTGGGTCCCATAACTAAATGCCCTGGTTACGGCTCTTCTACACAGCTGTCATTTTAATGGAAATATACTTCAGTAAATTCAGCAAATTTCTGTCCACTACCAATTGTTAATCCATGTCAATCTCATTTAACAACCAGAAAAGCCATTATGAACTTGTCAGCACTTTAATTTCCTTAAATGAATTTAATTGATTTTTATTACTCATTTGGCATTAACATCATCTTCTCCAAATAACAAAGTACAACAAAATTAGCTGTCATAAATGCCCACTATGTTTACACCATATCTTTTAGAAACAGATAGGGATTTGTGTTTTCAGTAACTTGTTTCCAACTTGACTGTTAGGAAGAACAAAATAATGAGAATCTGAAACTGTCTACCCATGGGAAGGAAGGGGAAGGCAGGGTATCAGATGTGGGAAAGACAGCAACAGAAGTAAGACACTGCCAACTCAGGGAGGGCAACATGGCATCAAGCTAAATATTAGTACACAGCATTTTTATAACTCATCCAGAGTATCAAGATCTTGATGATGAATAACAATGCCAAGATGGCTTTATCTTTAATTCCCACAATCATACATACTTCCTTTTGGTTTCAAAATACCAGTAACTATGCATCACAAGAACAATACCTAGTATATGTTTGCTATTAGCAAGATATTGTTCTAAGTGCTTTCCATACATTGTTCCATTTCATGCTCATAACATCGCTATATTTCTACAGTATATACATGAGAAACTGAGGAACTGGGGGTGATGTACCTTGTCCAAGGCCTGAAATTTGTAAACAGAACCAGGATTCAATGCCATGCCATGGACTCAGATCTGAGTCAACCACCCTCACCAGTGTGAGAGGTCCTCAGTATGGGACAAACAAGACCCACCACAGAGAAACGGAGTCCCACCAAGTTGCCCAGATGGCAGTTAGGATTTAGAAAATACAGTACTAAATATTTCATAAATGTTTAAATAGCTTAAAAGTGGCCTACAACTAGTATTTCTTCCCGAAGGACAAATGTTAGCTCTTAAAATATTTTAAATGATTGTATATATTCATGTACATTAGCATGAAATTCATTTCCATTTATTCAATGAAAATATTAGTCTTACATAAAACAGAAAATACAGGACCTTAGCTCAGAATTCATTAACTGTTTCATCATTAAATGAGTAAAGCCAGAATCAATGTACTTCAATTTCTCTTCTTAAGGAAACTTCAATCCCATTGACTTTTGCAAAGTTAGGGATGGGCAACAGCTTCTTGTGTCAAAATAATTAAGCACAACATTCTGATTCTGGGTAAAAAGCAAAACTGATCCAAACTTACCTTGTTTGACCAAATCCTGCTATGACCCAAAGGCAACCAAGGCATCTCTCATCTCCTTCTCATCTAAGCATTAGAAAGAGGACCTAAGATAAGGAGCAGAAATGAAATCTTTTCCTTTGCAATAAAGTATATAATGAAATCACTCTTACTGATGGGGCACATCTTGCCTAACAAGACAAATTTGATTCTGGTTTATCTCTCAAAGCAAAAGGCAATATATGTGCCCTTTTTTACAGGAAAAAAGGCCATCAGGAAGTGATCTCATCTGCTCCTATACTAATTCCCACTAATCTTAAAGTGATTTCTATACTTTCCCATTCCTTTTCAGTGCCCAAAGGACAAGAATTACCTTGAAATAATCTAAAGATAGTCCCCTGACAGAGAGCTACTGGGCACTACTTCAAGTGATTGAAACTGGGGGACCAGATGGCCACAACATCCCATTCAGCCAGGACAAGCACTGGCCACAAGCATGGTGCCAGAGAGGAAAAGGCAGTGCCAACTTATCCCATCATCCCTACACAGCAGACCTCCCTCTCTTTTACTCCCAATGCACATGTACTTAAACTTTTGTTTTAATATTTTTAGAAAGAAATAAGTCTATATCAGCAAAATATATTCAGTCTATTGGAGTTGTCACCTTGGTCAGATACAGCAGGCCTCCATACATTTGTACCCAAGAACAAGAGGATATTGCTTGACTGCAGGATTACTCTCAAAGCTTTTCAAGCAAAAAGAGGGAAAAACAAAATAGAAAGGAAGTGAAAGTTAAACAGAAAATATATAAGTCTAGACAAGATGGCATAGACTCACTTCTCCTTGCCCCTCCCCACTAAATATAAGCTATGCTTGCAATTGCTTGGGCTTCATAATTCCCAAGAATTAAAAAAAAAAAAGAGGAAAAAATTCCATTTGATCAACTTAATTCCCTTCTTTATCTTCCCTCCCTCCTCCCCTCCCCTTACATCCTCTTTTCCAAGCTGTTCTTCTTTGCAATATGTTACTGGTAGTGAACCCAGAAATAAAGCAAGGGTTACTCAAAGCAGACTGCTAAAAGGTATACAAAGGAAGGTAGACGGTTAAGGACCCTAAAACTAAAGGAACAGCAGAGTAGTATGAGGCCTTAGGATCTCCCACCCAAAAGCTGAAGGCAACCCAGACCTGGTATTTCCTGATTCTCAACTCAGCAACAAAGGGCAGTCCATGTAGGTTCATTTCTCCCCTGTATCACAAGGGAGTCCTTTTGACAACACCATGTGAGCCAGGCAAGGGGGAATGATAGAGATCCCTGCTGACAGTAAATAGCCAGGGAAGCATTCTTCTCCCAGTTAGGCAAGAATACTAACCTCCACTGAAAAATTAAAAAATGGTGGGAAGGGGAAGTACTTCCAACAAGGGTGATTCTACTGCAGAAGGTGGCTGGGAACCATCTTTGTCCCCCAAGGGCCAAAGATTCCCCTCTCAACCTAGTGGCACAGGAGGCCAAGCAGCATAGGCAAGAGGGATCCTCCCACAACAATATCAAGCCTGGGAAGTACTCTGTATATCCACAGGCAGGGGATCCTACCACCACAACTTATCTAGCATGAAAAACTACTTTGTTCCCATGGGCTGGAGACTCCCTTCCCTACTGAGAGACACTGCACATCTAGGAAGCACCAGTAAAGGAGATCTCAACACAACAAACAGCCAGGCAGAGGAAGCATCACTATACCCATGAACCAGAGAAACTCTTACCACATCTAGAGGTACAAAGTGTCCTGATATGAGTAAACAACTTCCATTCCCTCAGGCAGCACCAGTAGGGACCAGTGAGAGGCCCAGTGGCACTAGACACACTCAGTATACTTAAAAATTAAATTACCATTAAAAGAGAGTCCCCAAAAAGTAGGCCAGGATCTGTGTACTAAACCTAAAAAGCATTACTGCCTTCCAAAATAAAATATTTAAAAAGAATTCAGAGAATTCTAACAAAATAGCCAAAACATCCAAAATACAATTGAAAATCACTCACCATTCCAAGAATCAGGAAAATTACAACTTGATTTGAGAAAATAAAACCAACTGGCATCAACATTGAAATAAATAATATGTTGGAATTATCTGTCTTGGATTATAAAGCAGCCATGATAAAAATGCTTCAGCTAGTAATTACATATTTTCTTTAAAAAAATGAAAAAAATAGAACTGAAAAATGTAATAACAGAAATAAAAAAATTCAATGGATGGGCTCAATACTAAAGTGGGATGACAGGAAAGAAACAGTGAACTTGAGGACAGAGCAATAAAATCTACCCAATTGTAACATAGAGAAAGTAAATTGAAAAAAACTAAATTAATAGCACCCCAGGCACCTGTGGAACAATAAGAAAAGATCCAACAATCGTATCTTTTGGAATCCCAGAAGGAAAGGAGAAAGAGAATGGACTAAAAAATATTTTAACATATAATGACTGACAACATCTCACATTTGAAAAAAAAAAAAAAACATAAATCTACAGAATCAAGAAGCTGATGAATTCCAAACAGGGTAAACACAAAGAAATCCTCACCAAAACATACCATAAATTTCTCAAACTAAGTACAAAGAAAAATCTTGAAAGCAGCCAGAGAGAAATAATAGATTACCCATAGGGAAATGCCAATTCGGTTTTATTCATCTGAAACTGTGGAGGCAAGAAAGTGGCACAATGTTTTCAAGCAGTGAAAGAAAAGAACTGTCAATAGCAGATTCTTTACCCAGAAAAACTCTCCTTCAGGGATGAAAGATAAACAGACATTCTCACATGAAGGAAAATTAAAACAACTCATTCCTAAAAGACCTATCCTTAAAGAATAGCTAAAGGAGATTCTTCATACAAAGGAAGTCATGAAATCATAAAAGAAGGAATCTTGGATGAAATGGACCCAGTCTTCAAAACCCACAAACCACCACAATTCACCCAATATGAAAGAGATTATCTGAACAGCCCTATAACTATTTAAGGATTTAATTCATAATGTAAAGAATCACCAGGCCCAGATGGTTTCACTAGAGAATTCTATCAAATGTTTAAAGAATTAACACCAATTTTATACAATCTCTTTCAGAAAATAGAAAATAAGAGAACACTTCCTCACTCATTTTAAGAAGCCAGTCTTGGGACGCCTGGGTGGCTCAACAGTTGAGCGTCTGCCTTTGGCTCAGGGTGTGATCCTGGAGTCCCAGGATGGGGTCCCACATGGGGCTTCCTGCATGGAGCCTGCTTCTCCCTCTGCCTTTGTCTCTGCCTCTCTCTGTGTCTCTCATGAATAAATAAATAAATAATCTAAAAAAAAAATAAGAAACCAGTCTTACCCTGATACCAAAACCAGACAAAGACAGTACCAAAAAGAAAAAAAAAGAAAGAAAAAAAAAGGAAAAACAAAAACAAAACAAACACAAGAACTACAGACCAATAGCTCTCATAAATATAAGAATCTTCAACAAAATACTGGTAAATTTAGTCCAACAGTGTATAAAAGAATTCATACCATGACAAAGCTGGATTTATTCCAAGTATGCAAAGCTGATTCCACATGTGAAAAACCAATCAATATAATCCACTTCTATATACAGACTAAAGAAGAAAAACCATAACAAATGATGTAAAAAAAAGGGGGGGGAGGCATTTGACAAAGTCCAATACCCATTCATGACAAAAACAAGTTAGGAGTAAAGGGGTAAACTCCTCAATTTGATAATAAGTATGTACAAAAATCCTACAGCAAATAGCATGCTTAACAGTGAAAGTCTAGATGCTTTTATCCTAAGATCTACTCTCAGAACTTTTATTCTGCACAATACTTGAAGTTCTAGCTGGCACAGTATGGCAGGAAAAGGAAATAAATTTGGATCAAAAAGGAAGAAATAAAACTATCCAAATTTGCATATGACATGATTTGCCATGTAGAAATTCCCAAGGAAACTACTTTAAAAATCTCTTGGAAAAAAAAAAATCTCTTGGAAATAATAAATGAATTCAGCAAAATTGCAAGTGTAAGATCAACACATAAATATCAATTTTATACCTACACATAAATATCAATTTATAATTTATAAATATCAATTTTATACCAACACATAAATATCAATTTTATACTAACAAAAAGCATGCAGTAACCAAAATTTAAAAATACAATACCATTTATAATCTTTTCAGAATAAATGAAATACTTAGGTATGCACTTAAAAAATATATATGGGATCTTTTTGCTGAAAACTATAAATGCTGATGAACGAAATCAAAGAAGATCTAAGCAAATGGAGAGACACTATTTTCATGGATTGGAAGAGTCAACATAGTAAAGATGTCAATTTCTCCCAAATTAATATGACATAATTACTATCAAAATCTCTGTGAGGGGCAGCCCAGGTGGCTCAGCGGTTTAGTGCCACCTTCAGCCCAGGGCATGATCCTGGAGACCCAGGATCGAGTCCCATGTCAGCCTCCCTGTATGGAGCCTGCTTTTGCCTCTGTCTGTGTCTCTGCTTCTCTCTCTCTCTCTCTCTCTCTCTCTCTTTCATTAATAAATAAATAAAATCTTAAAAAAAAAGTCTCTGTGAGGGTTTTATTTTTTTGTAGACATAAAAAAGCTTATTCTAAAATTTATACAAAAAGGCAGAGACTCTATTATGGTTAAAACATTCTTGGGGGGGAAAACAAGAATATAATAGAAGGAGTCATGCTACCCATTATCAAGACTTACAGTAATCAAGACGGTTTCATACTAGCAGAAGAAGACACACATTGAACAATGGAACAGACTTGAGAACCCAGAAACAGACGTGAAAATATGTCCAACAGATACTTGACAGTGGTGTAAAAGCAATCTGACGGAGGAAGAATAGCCTTTTCAACAAATGGTACTGGAACACTTGGACATCCATAGGCATCCATAGGCAGATTTAACCTCAACCTAAATCTCACATCTTATACCAAAGATTAAGTCAATACGGACCACAGACCATATTGTTTAGTTTTGTAAAAAATAAAACCGTAAAAGTTTAATTTTAAAAATATAGAAGAAAATCTTTGGGATCT